CTCATTTTATTCTAACAGTCTTTGGCTCCTCTCCAGAAAGCATTTGAGGGTGAAAGTCTTAAAAAATATCAAACTAGACGCTCGAGGAGCGTTCACTCGGGCTTTGTAGCGAGCGCTTTACTTGAGAATTCACGACGCGTAAAATTTATTCGAAACTGCAAAGCCATAGCATTCACACAAAACACGAGTACAATTATAATATGTATCACGAGATCTGAATTTTTTTACCTTTAATGACACTGTAACATCATTATGTTCATGGACATTGGTCATATTGGAATATTTATCTAGAAGATCACATTCATTAAGAGTTTTCATCATATCTTCTACTAAGCACTCGTACTTCCATGCAAAGAGCAAACCAACTTTCACCATCGCTTGCACAATAGTGATTATGGACGAAATATCAAATCGTACTTTACAAGTATTGAACCCGATAAAAAACAATTACAGAAACAGGCATTTAACGGAAGAGCTAAGCTAAGATATATAACATTACAATTCGTGTTGCTTCTGTCAGTATCCCTATCCAATTCGTTGTTGTGAGCGCCACCGTCGAGCGAGGTGTTCGTCTCAGCTTCATAGTTTGTTGTTAATCGGCTGTCACAGTTTGCCAGTGCTTTCGTAGTTTGAGCGAAAACGCTCGACATCGTTTAATGTGGGCCTACCACGAACGGTGTGTGCGTTTGTATGTGAGAACAGCGTATAAGACAGGAATCTTTGCCGTGCGACCTTCCCAAAACACAACATTTCCAAAATTGTATTGTTTACAGCCAGCGAGCACACGATAAGACAAGTTGTCGCACTCTCATCCTCAGTTTCCGCGGTTTAAACAAGGAATGCCTAGGACCATGACCATAAAAAGGCATTATGTCCAGATTTGGATGTTATTTTTCCGGGGCTCGCAAGAAATGGCTCCGGCTCTCCTCCGGCTCGTCAGAAAAGGCTCGGGCTCGCAGGCTCGCATTATAGCAACCCCCATATTTGAACAGTACAACAAAAGAGGCGGCAAAGGTCTCTCTGAAGCCAAACGCAAAACAACCTAAATATTGTCATCTGTCTCTACGACGAAAAGAAAACTAAAAGGAAGGATACGATAAACTCGAGGCCAATAAAAATAGGAAACTTAGGTGAGAATTCACAGCACTGGTACAGGAAATATACGTATCTTAATTTCAGAAACGCAGCTTAAGAAAAAAAACGGAAAAGTAATTAAAAGTTTCTGCTTATCTATGCAAGGTTGGTATGGAAACTATCGTATGAAAGGAAATTAAAATTACGAGTATAAACTCAGCTGCCAACTACCATGAGAACTAATTTTGCTAGAAAGACCATTAACACATATATTTACCTAAAATTTCCCTCGAATTTAAAAAGAAAATTACCGATAGGCAGCTGCACAATGAAGGCAAAGTAACAATGCAAAATCTATTTCCAAAATCTATTGTGGCTTTTTTTAATTCAAATGTATATTTTTAAAACATCACGATGAGAGAAACTCGCATGAATCGAGAACAGCTAGAATACCAAAAACAACGAATAAATATGCTTAAACATCCACACCGAAAAATCACTAAATTTTCCCTTAACAGGAGGCGGTGGGGAAGGAGGGGTTATGGGCGAAATAGCAAGTTGGCAGCTTCAGTAGACTTCTCACCAGTTTTGAGGATCGTGCTTCAATACTTTTAAAAAATCGTTTCTTCCAAACTTATATGTTCTTCTCCTTTAGCCATTGTTGGAGCAATTACAGTGAAAAATCTCGATCGATAAGAAAAGAGTTTTTGATTTACCCTCAACATTTTCCTACATCATAAATGATATTTTTCTCCCTTTCCTCTTTTCATCTTCGTTCAACAAAGCACACAAAAAAACTCCATGTACAATTGATATTGATTTTTAATAGCGCCTCCTGAATTTCGTTTTTTGCCACTCTTCATTTACTACTACCAATTACGACCTGCACTTGAATGCAAAGTAACTTGAATTGGCATGTTAATCTTAACTCATAAATGAGACAGAAAAGTTATCTAGACATAAAGATAATGGGTACTGTGAACAATCCCATTGCAAAGCAGTTATGTTACTGGTTACTTCGCTGTATCAGCTGCACTACTACTTTCTCTCTACTTTTTCATCCTTGCCGACTGAAATATTCTATTAGAAACTATTGGCTGCATTATTATCAGTAACTAATATCAGTAATAAGTAAGTCATCAGATGAATAACGATATTTGTAACAAATGAATGGAGCCTATAGATGTTATTTATAAGCAGTTGTCAGCATTTTTAAACATGTTGAAGATACACCAAGTGGATGGTGTATATTCTCTCCAGTAATGCTGCGGTCTGCCCCCATATACAGGGCTTGAATAAGGATTCTCTAGGGTAGCTCCGGGTCTAAACAAGATCATCATAATTACCCGACAAGATTATAAAATCAGATACGATGAATATATGAAGGAAATGCCGTGGGACAAAGAACTCAGTAAAATACTGTTACCTTCTTGTTGCCCGTTGCCCTCAATCTCATGTCGAACTTCTTGTTGCTCTTATGAAACAAGCATGTGTAAATTAATGGATTAGTACTATTGCAATATGATATCCATATCAAAAGTGGCTTTACTCACAGAAAGAAAGATTCACTAATAAGAACAACGTTTCCGATTCTATTCTATAATCTTATGAAATAGAGAGAATGAAAAAATGGTTATAGTTACCCTCTTGATCGCCACTGCAGTGAAAAATTCTGAGTAAGAAGTTTCTTAATTTTGCTATTTTGCCTCCCAGATACTCTTGCGCCTTGAGTGAAGAGGAAATTAGCCATTAACGACATTAATCAACTTACAATTTTCCCGTAACAATTCTTAGATAGTGAAAAGTGCCAAAACATGCATCGATCTCAATGGATCGGAGTGTTGACGTCTTTGTATTTAATTCACTCTTAGTAGTGTAAAGTAGCCAGAAATATGAAGGCTACGATCCTTGCATGAAGTATCAACTACCACTGTCTTAGAGTTTAAACATGAAAAGGAAAAGTTACTCTATACCTTCCGTGTTGCTAACGTGTACAGAATCGGGTTTATTGCTGAATTGATGGGCAAAGCAAACACAGCAATCCACACGGCCAGATCTCCCGGGGTTTTGTACATCTTTTCCAAAACCGACCTCAGACCAAACACGATGATTGGCATCCAGCAGAGACAATCAGTGAAGATGATGAAGAACAATCTTTTGGCAAGACCTGTCTCCCTCCTTGTGTTGGCTGATTGGTTTTTGACCTGCACTCTGCTTATGAATATGGCGAGGTATGCAGCTGTAATGAATAAGAAGAGGAAGAAATTGAGGCCAACAAACACAATAACAGAGTACTCCCAGCCTTCCGCTTTGTTAGGAGAGAGCTGCAAGGGAAGGCAGACGACGCTTTTCCCGTAGTAGTTGTGATATGTTTCTGAATTTTCGAAGTATCTCAGGCCAAACATTGGAAAGAATGCCAGGAAGAGGCCGACGAGCCATATGATTGCGCAAAGGATGTGAGTCATCTTAAGAGAAAGTGCTCCACCTCTGAACGGGAACACAATGTTCTTGAGTCGGTCTGCAGATATCAAAGCCATCAGCATCAGAGAGACCTCACTGGATAGCAATGAAGTAGCCCCAGTTATCTGGCAAGCCAAGCCAGACCGCCACTGAAAGTCATATAAGTAATACTCTCCTCTCCACGACAAGATTGTCATTTTAATAAGTTAAAACTCACAGAATTTTCAACTGCTTAATTTCTTCGAAACTGTCGATGCAAACTTTCGTCAATTTATTATCAAAGATTTCTCTGACAGAAGTAAAGACAAAAAAATCAATCAGCACAACAGCAATGATACCATTTTTCAGCATTGATGTATGGATTTAAAACCAAAAAGTGCGATTGTTAGAAGATGCCACGATACCACTTCGATGAAATTAATCGCCATATAATTCATTGCCTACTTACAATATCGAAAGCTTTTTCAGATCTTTGAAAATTCCTGTTGGCAAATATCCGAGTTTGTTTCCTGAAAAATAGCTGATGAAAAAAGGAAAAAGTTTTTCACTAAATTCATAACAGGGAAAGTAATTTACAGCAATTTCCAATGTAATCACATCATTTGGTTTTGCAGTAAATGGTTTGAACCCGGGGGTAACATGTGAAGGTGTAGTCTGATCGTCCGGGTGAGTGTAGTCCTTAGAAGGACTGTTGTCGGTGGTAGTGACTGACGTTTCGACAACCTGTGCGGAAGTCATCATCAGAGTCACTTGATCAGACTACACCTTCTCATTTGGTTTTTTAAGTTTTTGGTGATTTCTAGTGAAGCATCATCATTGCATCAACTTTACAACTAATTTCCAGGGTAATCAAAAAATCCCGCTTATTATTTCTAACCCGGCCAATTCCCTTCCAGGTTCTCTAGTTATCTCCACAGACTCTCCACAAGCATATATTTCCGAAATTTCGGAAACAGAGAAGTTATAACAAAGGGCGTTAAATTTCCATAATTGGAAAATGTGATCGATCCCAGCGTATGTTGCAGGCAATTGCGATAAGGAAAAAATCCTTCAGTCAGGCTGGGTCACAAAAATCAGCGTAATAACATATTCAAAACCTAGAAACTAGATACCAAAACTATACAAGAAATACTTACAGGTCATGCAGCTTTGTCAGTCCCCAAAATTGTTTAGGATGGAGCTTCTTTAACTTGTTCTTCTCCATTTTCCTGTTAAATTGCCAATCATATACCTGTTCATTACAGGTCTTTTCTTCTTATTATTTTTAATTCAAAAGTTGAAGGTTATGTGAGTGGTAAGTATATATATCTAGAGTGCCTTTCCAGAAAGTGCCAGAAAACCAAAGCCAAAGTAATCGCAACGAATCCATTGTACACTAAATGTAAATACAGTGACAAGCAAACGACTTCAATTGCAAGCGCGGGAAAAAGCTACAGACCAAGACGCAGTTGATTCATGGTATTTGACCGCTTGAGAGAATGGCACAAGTCAGTTCAAGATTCATCTTGAACTGACTTGGCGTTCAATCTTCAAGGATACAAACACAGTGCAGTCAATCATGTTATTGCACTTGGCAGTCTCCGTTGAAGCTATCTTGAATGAAAGCAGAACGAGAGCAATCCTTGATGATCAAATTGACCTCGCATAGTTCTAAAATTGTCGAACTCGAAAGCAATTCTAGGAAAGTCTAACTAAGAAATTTCTGTTTCCGTTATTTACATGCAGTATCTCTTTTTTATCAAATTTGCTTTAAGTGTTTAATTTTTCAAATTCATAAATCAATCAATCGATCAATCGACTATAAAAAATTTTAACAATCAATCAACAATTCAAACTATTCGTTACTACTCACAATGTCCTGAGCTGGGTCAGGTTAGCAAATATCGATGGGGGTAATTCTTCGATTTGGTTGTTCGATAAAATCCTGCAAGAATAGAACAGTTCGCAAGACACTGACGAGTGATACTTGTCAGTGTATAGGAAAAACCCGAAAATTGCGTTTCACAGCGAAAAAAAGGTAGATTGCGATAACGAATGGTAAGATCAAAAAGATCTTGTGTGGCGACTTACAGTTTTGTGAGCTGTGATAGGTTGCTATAGATTTCTTGTGGTAGATTCTCAATTGTGTTATCAGACAGATCTCTGAAAAGTTCAACATGTAATTGCATTAGTACTTTTAGAAACAAAATAAAA